GGGGGAGGGGGGGGGGGCTGCGGGTGCGTGGGGTGCCCCAGTGCTCCGGGCATCATCCCGGCACAGGTCTCTCTGCCTCTCCCAAGCAAATGTTCACACTGGTAGAAAACTCGTGATTTACAGCGGGATGGAGGTGCCTACTTTCTGGTGCATTCCCAGGCTGGCAAACCCCTGGGGGGCACAAAGCTCCCCTGCCGGGCACAGGACTGGCGGGTGCTGTGCCTGGCTCTGGGGAGGGACACCCCTGCCTGCCAGGGAGCCCCAGCAGCACCAGGCTCTGCCTGCCCTTTCGGGGTGCGGGGAGATGTGGCAGGGCTGGGGGCTGGCACCGTGGCACACCCAGGGCACAGCTTTTCCCTGCCTGCCCACTCAGCCAGTCCCTGCCGGCCACAGCCCCGGGAGCCCAGGAGGGGGATGCACCCCTGAGCCTCGGGCAGCCCCTCAGGAAGGGCACTTGGAAGATGGATGAAAACATCCCCCTGCTCGGCACAGATTCGAAGGCATTGCAGAGTTCCGGAGGTTTATTTCACACAGAGGGTGGGGGGAGACAAAACAGGACAAAAACTTTACAGTCACCGTGACGTATTTACAACAAACATCATCCCCAAAAGTCGCCAAGCGGCAGCGTGGCATGTGCACAGCCACGAACACGAGCGCCCGTCTGTACACGCACCCCGAGCTCTGCTCACGCTGCAGCACGCACAGAGGAGCTGGACTGGCCCTGTCGCTGCTTCCCACCACGCTGGCAGCATCAAGTGGTTTTAAAGCTAGAGCGAATCACCTCCCTGCCCTCACCCCACTGCCCCACGTACCCAGACCAGCGTGCAGGGGCCTTGGGATGAAAACCACCCTCCTACAATGCTCTCCCCGCCTGACCCCGCTGCTGCTCCTCCAGCTTCATCTAAACACCCCCCCATCCCTGAATGGCACGGAAACATGGACATCTGCCCCAAACGGAGAGGGAGAAACAGGAGGAGATTTGACAAGAGCATAATTCACATTTTTTGCCCAGTCCCCCCTGCTTGGAGCTCCCCTTGCTCCCCTGTGCTTTTCCTTTGCTGAAGGTATTGCTGCGGCTCCCAGGATTGCACCCAGCCCTGGGAATGCAGCGTCTGGGGCAGGGATGGAGTGGAGATCCTGGAAAGGGCTCGTGCCTGCAGGAGGCCCTTCTCCCCTTCCTGATGCGCTGTCCAAAACCCAGCCGAGCCCAGGACGACAGGGTCCTTTGGGAGAGCAGAGCCACTGGCCACCGCATCCCGATGCCAGCCGCGCCAGGAAGCACCCCCGGGGTGGGAGCTCGTCCCCCATCTGCACGGGGAGCACAGGCATGTCCCCAAGGCTGTGCTGCTCTTGGGCTCGGGAGCTTTTTCCCAGCTGGCTCCAGCTCTCCAGCACCAATGGCACGGAGGAGCCGGCTGCTCGGGCCCTGCTGTGACCGCAAGTGCTCCCGAGGGAGAGCCCCTCTCCTCTCTGGGTCGGTGCCTGCACTGGAGGGTCCTTCCAGCGCCGTCGCCCCCAGCGCCGCTCCTCCATCTCCTTTGCAATGCCCGGCCCTGCAAGGAGAGGGTGGGATGTGACACAGCATCACCCAACAGGCTCAACCCTCGCAGCTGCATAGGACAGGGACCGAAAGCAACCGCCCTGGGAGAAAGAGGAGCAGCGTGCACGGAGGGGGATCCAGACTGGAGCTGGGCAAAAAGCACCATGCGTAAGGTCTGGAGCTCCAGCAGCCCGTAAGCCAACGCGGCAGAGGCAGCCGCCCCGATGGGGGTTAAAGCATCCCGGGGCAGGCGGGGAGGTGTCAGCAGACGGCCGGGCTGACGCCAGGCTCACGTGCCCGAAAGCGGGCTGGCCAAAGGCTGCGCTCCCCCAGGGAAGGCAGCGGCCAAAGCGGGCAGAGGAGACGCTGCAAGGGATGATCGCCCCGACCCCGCTGCGGCGCTGGCCGAGGGGGAAGCACACTCACTCTCTTCCCGGCTCTCGGCGGCTCCCAGTCAGGTGGAAGGACCCGCTGGTGTCTCTCTGCCGGCAAACCTTGAACAGGAGAGCACAGTGTGTGAAGAGCCCAGACCTTTCCCACGATTTACCGTCCTGTTCCTAGGATGGATGAATCCTCAAAACGCGCGACTTCAGGAAACACTTTCTGGCACCTCTTTCTGCACATCTGTGCTGACAGCAGCTCTGCCTGCACATGCTGGCAGGAACCTCTCCTGCCTTCAGGCATCAGGAGGGGGTTTGGACCAGAGAAAGCCGGTTAAAATCCACAGTAATCAGAATAATTCAAATTTTATCATCCTAATAAAAAACTCGGGGGAAAAGAACCACCCTGTAATTTGCAGAAGGAGGTGTTAATCCGCGTAAGGGCACAGGCAGCAGTCTGGCAGGGCAGAGCCACAGCACAGGCATCCCTGCCAGCCATCTGCCCTCACACAGGGCTGCCAGCTCTGGAAAGCCCATCTCTGTCCACAGGGCTGACGGCAGCGAGGGACGGAGGGCGACGAAATAAATTCCCTTGCCAAAATTACACTCTGTCAGAGGGCAAAGCAACCCGCAGAGCCCAGGCTGGCGACAGCGGCCCCCGGCTGCCTCATTGCAGAGGGGCTCCCCACATTTTCCTTCTTTAACAGCAGAAAGTGGGAGCAGGGGGAGAAGGGGAGGAATCCCAGGCTTTGGGACACGTTCGTGTTCGGCTGGTTTGCTTCCCTATTCACCACCAGCGTTTTCTTTACCCAGGAACAGCAGACCCCGTCCTGGTCGGCTGGGGTGTTCCCCAGGAAGGGACAGGGTGGGACTGGGCTGGGACCCCAGTTTTGCAGCCCAGTGGAGAGGCCGGGGTTTTAGGGGAACCTAAAGGTAGAGGGCAGCGGTTCCCAGCCCCGCACCCCAGCACCTCTCCCACGCACCCCAGGCACTGCCTGCTCTCCAGCTCTGGGGTCTGCCTGCCCTCCGGTTCCACACTGCGCCATCAGACCACAGCCCCACCCGGTCGCACCCCAAAGGGCTGGTCCCCTGGAGCCCCCCGAGCGAGTGCCTGCGGGTACCTACTCGTCAAGCTGCGAGCACAGCGTGGTCTGGGTGCCCTGCAGCTGGGCCTCGCCCAGGGGCCGCTGCCGGTGACTGCTGCCCTGGGACAGGCTGGTCTCCTCTGTCCG